AAAAAAATTAATATATTTAAATTATTTTACAAATAATAATAGTCTTTATTTAAATTCTCTTATTTTAATTTCTCTAAATAATTTATTTAATTTTATATTTTAGTAGAAAGAGAATTTAATAACAATTAAAATTTTTTTATTTTTATTTTTATTTTTCTTTAAAATATTTTATTTTATTTTAAATGAATATAAAATTTTTAATAAAAATAATGAAATTTTGATACGGTAGAGGTTGAAATCTAAACCTTCCAAATACCAAAAAGAGGATATAAAATTTTGAATAAAAATGATGAAATATTGATATAGCACGAGTTGAACTCTAAGCCTTTCAAAAATTACAAGATTGCAACTAGGCGTTGGGCACTTGGCCTACTTGTTTTGTGCAAAATATTTGAGATATATTGTATGTATTATATATAATCTATAACATATATAAAGGTAATACTTGGTTTTTGGTGTAGTTTTTTTTTATACCAAATTTACTCTTATTTTAAAATATATAACTTACACAATAACTTTCATTGAACTACTACTATCATCTTTCATATAATTCTCTACTAATAACTTCCCACATAACTTCCATGTAAAATTAATATTAAATAAAAATATATCATTTATATTTATATATGTATAATAAAAAAGCGGACAGACGGGCACGCGAATGCCCGTCTAAACGCTAGTATATAATAAGTCTAATACTCTATTAAAATAAATTTGGCTAAATTATAGGTTTGATCCTCCTATTTTAATTAATTCACAAAATTAGTCTCTATATTTATTTTTTAAATAGTTTTGGTCCTTATGTCCATTTTTTCGTCTAGAAAACGTTGTTATGTCATTTTTTTTTGTATATGTGGCATACTTTCTGAACGAGAGAGAACATAGAGAATATTTTTTTGTAAACGAAAAAGACAATGAATAAGTCGAGAGAGAAAGAAGATGAAGAAGACGGTTGAAGGAATAAAATATCATAAAAAATGCAATGAATATTTAATATTTATTATGCAAGGTCAATACAAGTATGTAACGTATCTAAAAAATGGTACACATTAGTGTTTTTTGGACAAAAAATGGACATGGGGACCAAAACTATTTAAAAAATAAATTAGGACTGATTTTGTGAATTGATCAAAATAAAGAGATAAAAACTGTAATTTACCAATAAATTTTGATAATATTATTCATCTCAAATGCAGATTCGAAATGTATATATTATATATAGTATATAATAAGTTTAATATTCTATAAAAAAAATTTTAGAGAGACATAGAGATAGAGATTTCACAACTTTCCTTTCTTCCTCTCAAAAAGCAGAAAACGCAGAAGTTTCTTTTCAGCAAAAGCCTAACGCCGCCGCACGCTTCACTTTTTCTCTGTGTTATATTTTAAATTGTTAGGAAATTTACTGATTTTTATTGTTGTAGTTAAACTTGAAAAATTGAGGTTGAAAATGGAGTCAAGGTGTGTGGGTAATGATTCTCTTGTGAGTTAAAGTTGAACTAGTTATCCTTCTAACTGTGGAAGCAGATGTTGATATAAATTTATTTATAATCTGTTCTTCTTTTCTTCTTTATTGTGTATGCCTTATGTCAATAATTGATTTTACACTTCTGAGTGTATAACAGGTATTGGCATTGACACGAGTTCAATAACTTTTAGTTTAAATTAAATTCAAACATTGAATAGGTAATTATAGAAATAAATAAGATGCTAATTAAAATTGACCAAAGATTTCTAACATTAAAAGTTTTCTTCGCAGACTTCCAGCAATGCGGAGTTCATGTTTGATTTTGGTTAGATGTTTTTTTATTTCTATTTCTATTTTCGAACTCGGTTAGTTTGTGAATAATTCAATTGTTAAGGTTTTTATTGATTTTGTTATTGTTAAACTTTGGGTGTTGAAGTTGAAAATGGAGTCAAGTTAAAATTTTTTTCATATTTCTTCTATACATAGTTATCTTTTCCTCTTTTAGATAACCTTTGTTTGTATAAGTTTTTTATTGTATTTGTGTTGTAAAATTATACGGTTTCTGAATATATAAAACTAAAGGGAGTATATTTCACCCAATTTTGCATTTTACTATATAAGTTTGATGTTGCATAAAAGCCTTCAAGTAAGAACCTTTGTTCTTCATCTTTTTTGCTACTCTTAGATAAGTTATATGCAATTTAACTAAAATTATGCCAAAATTCATATGTAGGTATATCAATACCTATAATAGGTGTTTAGAATGGTGGTTAAAGTGATAGTCAATTGTAACTGTACTGGGTGACTTTGTGGTGGATAGAATGTTTGTCGATAATTTTAGTGATTGGTATTGATTAGGGTTGTGGTCATAATGGTATTTAGTGCGGATAGAATTCTTATAGATATTTCCCAGAATTTTGAAATGCAGTTTGGTTGTTGTTGAAAATATAATATCTGCAATAAAAACCGCACGCGTTCCTCCAAAATTTGCTGCCAAATATATTTTCGAAGGAAACTTTAATCATTTATAGGATACCTGCGGAATTTGCTGCCTATTCAATTTGCAAAACACTATTTTATTTATTAAGTCGCAGCAAAGTCCACAGGTATTTCTTATAATTAAAGGGTAGAAAGTATAACTAAAAATGCAAGAGATGATATACTAATAATAACAATTGCAATTAAAGTTATAAGTTTAGAAGATATAGAAGTATTTTTCACTAAACTAACGAATGCAAAAACATTGACCGTTAATGCATACTGGTGTTCCACGAACTAGGATGCAAGGAAACAAACAATCGAGGAACGAAGTACATTTGGATTTGGAATCTGTGATTCAAAACAAGAATAAAAGAGTGTTATTGAAAATGGTTAACAAATAATATATAATTTAAGAAAACACTTTTAAATGGTGGAAAGAAATTTTTTACCACTAGCATCAGTTGCAGTAAGAAATAGAGAAAATAATAAAATGGCTATAGTATAAAAATACTTGAAAACTTTAATTATTCTTTTCATCTGTGTGTAACAAACCAAAACCAATTCAATCACTTTTTTTATAGGAAAATTCTGTCACTTTATGTAGAATAAAAAACCCATATTCTATTTTCTTCAAAATTAAATATTTATATCATTTATAAAATTGTAAGATACCTTTTGAAAATTAGAATGGTTATTAAATATCTCTTACGATTATTGATGCGTCGTCTTTTCCCTTTTTTTTTATAATAAAAATTAGACCTAGATGAAAATAAAAAATAAAATAAAAAAACTACAACTTAATCAAATGAGGAGTAGAGTTACTAGTAAATTTTTAGCTAGAAAACTCATAAAATAATTAAAGACATTCATTTCATTTCTATCATCGGTATAAACATTTACTTTACAATACAAATAACAAACTTTGATCTCCCCATTCATTTCTAATAAGTTGATAATATACTTTATTAGACGATTGTTGGTAGACATGCAGTTAAGAATCTCGCTTCAACGTTTGAATCTACATTTAACTCTATCTAACAACATTTTATTATTTCTCACATGTTGGCTTATAGTTTAGTCATCTGCTTGTGCCAGCGAATGAAGCAATCACTCTCTCTTCAAAGTTGTTATAATCGAATTTTACCTTCATTCGTTTTGATTAAATAAAATCAAAATGTAAATAATAATAATGTACTATAAATAATGACATTCATGTTTAAATATATACTTACGTGCATCAAACTTGCAATATCCCTGTGTCTAGCAAATTTTTTCCATAGAGAAAATCTCGTATGTCACTAGGCGAAGAATAGAAGAGCTCTACAGATGAACAATGCTCTAGAGGAAAAGAATACGGGTCATCGCTTTCTACAACCAAAACGTATAATTTGGCGATTTCATTTGCGGAAGGATGCAATAACTCATTGACCTCTTTAGCGGGGGCGGCTGAACAATTGCCTACTTTAGTGCTAGCATGACGTACAACATGTGTTTGGGGAACTTGATCATCAGCATTATCATCATTTTCATCTGTACATTGCGGTAAGGATCTATTTATTCTCTGCGACATAACATTCATTTTGAACACAATACATAATAAACACATTTCTATCTTTTCTAACTTTTCAGATAACTCTTCTAACTTTTCTATGTCTTTCTTTCGATTTTCCCGCTCGGCTTCTAAAATCTTCCTCTGTTCTTCTAACTACTTCTCAATAATCTTTTCTCTTTTCTCTTGTAGTTCGATGTTTTCGGCGCTTTTTTTGGTTGGACCAAAGAATAATCTCAGACCGACGTCTTCTCCACACTACAACATTTTGAATATACAGCGACACAAAAAAAACCGTTGTAAAATCCAAAAAGGTTGTTGCCTTTACATATGAGAACGGTTTTCTGGACGTTCTAAACCAAGACGTTGTTTTAGCCTTTAGGAACGGTTATTTAGCCAACGGCAACGTCTTGTTCAGAGTCATTGCTATAATTTTATATAGAGAACGGTCTAGAACAGCAACGGCTGGACTCCGTTTTCAAATTTAAACCGTTGCAATTGTTGTTTATTAGAAAACGGCTATTTTATGGAATATAGCAACGTATCTTAGTCGTAGCCTATTCTAAACCGTTCTAATAGAGGCTTAAGTTCATTTTTTCTTCATATGTTATGGCAATGCCTTCTTTACTACAGACACACTTTATAATTGTTGCAAAAAAATTTATTTTATTTCTTCATTGGTTATGGCAATGCCTTCTTTACTACAGACACACTTTATTTTATTTTATAAACCTGATAATAATATCATTCATAATTTTTTTATATAATAATATTCAAATACAAATTTTAAAATGATCTTGCATTTAAAAAAATACATGACATAATCCATTTAAATATCATAATGTCAATCATTGATTCACAATCAACAAAACATCTTCAAATTGCATATCGTAATGTCAACAAAACATCTTCAAATTACATATTCCAATGTCAATCATCATTCATAGTCAAAATAACACCTTTAATCTATAAAATTAAACTTAAACATCTACATCTCTACATCTACGTTTCTTCATCTTTAAATTCAAAATCTTCATTGATATTATCATTCATGACCTGCAAAATAAAAATAATATAACTTAAATAAGATTATTATTCGAAAGATCTAAAATAAAATAATTCACTCCAAGTAAATAATCCACATATATAATGCATAAGCAACACATACACAAGTATTCACATGGTCACATATAAAATCCCTTAAAACATACAAAATCCCTTAAAACATAGGAATGTAACAAATCTTACTTGATCATTAGTTGGAGCATGTGTTGATGTAGAAGAACGTAAGACACTGTTAGCATCAGTTACAGGAGTTGATATCAAAGCTACCAAAGCCTCTATGTTCAACTCAGAAGTATTTTGATTCAAAACAGTCTTAAGAAGAAGCTGAATTTTCCTATCAGTTTCTTCTTTATCTTGAAGATGTTTTTCTTCCATCTCTTGTAACCTATCATTAAATTGTCTAACTTCAGCAGCATGCTCTCTTTTAATTTTTGCAATTTCTTCGTTTCTTTTCAAGAGAGTCGGTGTTGTGGTTCTTCCGTGGCAATGCAATCTCCCAGGTTTTTGTTTGCCCAATACGCTTTCAAAAGCTTCTGAAGAAGGTTTTCCATGTTTTTCAATCAAGTCTTGAAGCTTTATCTAACATACATAATATAGTAGTAGTAAATAAAAGGCAAAGGACAAAACAATCAAAATATCTACCTGTTCTTTAACACTTAACAATAATAACTTACAATTGCATGGTTAGTTTCTTAATCCAACTCCTTTCCTTTCCTACTTTGTCGAGTAGCAATGAACATTTCAGCTTGAGTCGGAGGTTCTTTATCTTCATTATTTCACGCTAAACCAAGTAAAACAAGAGTATGAGATTATTAATAAAATAACACAATTTAATATTCAATTAAAATATAATTTAAAAAAGAATACCATTTTTTCTCTTATAACAGCAAAACCTTTATTCCCCATTAGATGTCTCCATTTCAGTTGAACTATATTTTCGGTATTTTGATGACTGACTTCCTACATTTTCATGCATTGATGCTAGCAAGTCAAGACTATGACAGTCTATACACACACATATCCATACCCACACATTAACTTGTCCTAAAATTCAAGATTCAATCCAAGTCCAAGACATGTTCATAATTCATACAACAAAATTTAGCATACCTACCATATAAATACAATGCAAGTCAAGCATACCGTTCACTTTAACACACCAATACACTAACTCTTTTCCAATTTCTAACAATTGTTTCAATCACCTCTAATCTCCAAATAATTAACATAACAGTTCAAACAATCCAAACTAACGTCACATTCTATAAGATTAATCAATTGATAAGCAACAATCTAATCATAATAGTAACAAAAGCAAATAAAGTAATTTATATGTTAACTAACAGTACTTATTAATATGTTAACTAACAGTATTATATGTTAACTAACACTACAATATAACTAATCAATTAGGACTTCCATTTATATGTTAACTAACAGTACTTATTAATATGTTAACTAATAGTATTTATATGTTAACTAACACTACAACATAACTAATCAATTAGGACTTCCATTTATATGTTAACTAACAGTACTTATTAATAAATTAACTAACATTACTTATTAATATGTTAACTAACAGTATTTATATGTTAATTAACACTACAGCATAACTAATCAATTAGGACTTCCATTAAGAAGTTTCATAATTCCTACTAACTGATTCAATTAACTAACAGTTTCATTAGTCAAACTAATTACCATGACTAATCAATTAACATAATCTCTAACTCCTACGTACTATCTACCAGTTCAATTAACACAATTAGCTAATTCCAAAACTCACTAACAGTCAACATTCAAACTAAGACCATTACTGCACATATGTAGACTTACTAGAGTTTTGTCATCTCTCCAATACTCCAATAAATTTCTAAAATATTCTTCTGGTACCTCTTGTGGACGATTTTTTAGCTGCTCGCGTAAGGTTTTATACTTACTAAAATGCTTCCTTTTAAGCGAGCATTTGTATCGTTTCCAAGCATCATTTGTAATAGCAAATACAGCCTTCTTTCCTTCCTTTGGGATATTATATTTTTCCTGCAAAAATATATATTTAGAACAATATATACATTAAAGTATGTTAAAAAGAAACACAAAATCAAATAAAAAACTAATTACATTGACATAATCCCACACTGGATCCAAATTGTGTTCCTCCCAATGCTTAACCAAATCAATCCAACTAGTGAAAGTGAGAGGACATAAATCTGAACTTCTTCCTAGTGTCCCCAAAAAACTACTGAGTTCAGACACTATCTTTTCATCTGGCCCAATTGGTTGTCCTTCTTCATTCAAGGTGATCTCTTGTCTATCTTTGAATTGTCGTCCATGAATTTTTCGACATAACGTATTTCCCCGTTTTTTTGTTAATCCTGAGGATGAAGCACCTAAGGTATTACCTTCAGCTTTGTTTACATTTGTTCCCTCAACTTCCTTACCATTATGGATGCTATCATTCTCCATATATTCTTCCATTTAATTTTCTTCTGTATCTTCATCGTCGAATTCCTCTACTCCATTTTTTTTCTTATTTTTATCGAGACATTCGGTAAGGGGCATGGTTGGACACTTTAGAAGACTTTTTTTTCTTTTCAAAGGATTATTGAGACTTGTTCATAGTATTGTTAAGGCTTTGCAAAATCTGAATCTAAAGGAATAATGAGCTTCATATCAACCAATAATAATTAAAAATTCATTTAAGAAATCAATACATTACTATAAGAGGTTGTCCCCATTATTAGAATTAGAAAGTACTATAAATTATCTTTTTGGTTTGATCACTGGTGTTCTTTGAGACTTGTGCTTCTATTGAACCTTTAACTTGATGATCCACCATTGACTTCAATTTCTTTTTAGTATTATTATTCAGAGCAAGCATTTTTCTTGGCTCAGTAATTTCCTTTGTGGCCTCTACTTCCATTTGCCTCTTATTACTATTGAGAACATGCACTTTGCTCGGTTGGGCAACTTTATTAGAAATTTCTACTTCCGATTGGCTTCTAATGTTACTATTCGGTACAAACACTTTGCTTGGCTCAACCATTTTCTTAGAAACTTCTACTTTCAATTTCTTTCGATGGTTCAGCTTTTGAATGTTTCCAACATTGGTGTTTATAGGATTGCTTCCTTGATTTGTTGGGTTGTCTTTTAAAGCTTTTTCATTTTCAACCTTAATTTTCATCTTCCTCTTTAAATCTGTGCTAGACTTAGCTTGGAAATCAAACACAAAATCGTTCGGGTTCGTCATTTTCCTGCAACAGAAAGTAAAAACATAAATACATAAAAGATCAGGTCAGGTCAGTAATTACACATACTTTGAATGATATCTTTATGGTTAAATTGAAAATTGTACAGAACTATAACATGTCATTGCTAAAACATGGATCAATTAGTTGTTATTAAAACAAAGCGGAATGCTTAAGTTGAGTCAGAGATTTCAACAGTTTAGGTTAGAATAGGACCTTTTAACTTGTTATTAAGACATGGATGGCCATTAGACGCGGTTGCATCTTCGTTTGGTACACATGCGATAGTCTTATTGCCAATAAAATGATAAACTGGAGGTTTAACCTAAAGAACTTTATACATAAATACAGTGATACATTGCAAGGATACTTAATTCTTAAAAAGCTTTACTGCACCATTTTTTACTATACTAATATAAGTGCCGATATAAAGGTATTTTGGCAAGATGTATTTAAAAGATAGATAAATATGTCAACCACATGCAGCAACAACACCATTGAGTTTAACTGTAGATTCACATTTCACAATATAGCCATAACATACAGCACATAATACAATTATGCACCCAATATTGAATTATTATTCAACTATAGGAGCTTTATAATAGCAAAGCAACCACTAAAAAGTTTCAGAACTATACCTTATTATGATCAATTTTAGAAAATGCAAGTGAAATCACTCCAGCAAGTTCTTCAAGAGCTAATCTTGTGAAATGCAATAGATAATTACAATATCAAAGTCATCCCATATTTTTCCTCTTCAACTTCAAACCAATCACATCTAAATAACACAAACTTCAACTTACCATAGTAGTCTACCTCAATTATTTCTATAATTAATCCATAGTATGTTATTGATTGTGTTATTGGATTTTCATCTTTGGTACTTCAATAACTTTCAGTTATTGCCGCTAGTGTCACACCACTGTTTTGTGTTTTATGTCTAGCATCACGTCCTTTTGTATGAAACCTATATCCATTAATTACATAGCCAGAAAAACTTCGTGCAATTTTATTTGGTCCTATGGATAGCGTCCTAAGGTTTCCTGATACATCAGTTAACAATGCACGCTTCTTAAACCATTCAACAAAATCTAAGCCTTGACTCTTTGCTTTGCTCCACCCCTTTCTCTTGTTGGAATTTGAATTTTCATGCTCACTACAATTAAAATTATACTGTTAAAGTTATTGTAAAACAAATCTTTTACGAAATTGAAACCTACAAGTATATTCATTTACCTTATAAATTTTTAGACATCTTCATGATTGAATAAGATGTAACGATGGGCTAAACTCCTTGACTTGCAATCCAACGAAATTTCTTCACCCTTTCTCTTTCCTCCAATAGGATAACCAACGTTAAGACAAGAGCTTGGACTTTCATGTTCATGAGGATCAAATCTATCGTTATTTCTTGTCATTCTAGTGAATCTTGTTTCAACACCACTATGCAAATATCGAGAGCAAAATGTCAAGCATTCTTCAACCAAATAACCCTCAGGACGACTTTTATTACGAACATAACTCTTCAATTTTCCTAGATATCTTTCTGGAAAGTACATCCACCGAAATTGAATAGGTCCTCCCATTCTTACCTCATTCACTAGATGTATTGGCAAATGAACCATTATACCAAAGAAACTCGGGGGGAAAATTGTTTCGAGTTGGCAAAGTGTTTCTGCAATCTCAGATTGTAAGATATCCAAATCTGCCACCTCAATCACCTTCTGACACAAACAACGAAAAAATGAACAAAGACGGAATAATGGATGTGCAACCTGGTTTGGCATTGTACATCTCACAGCCACTTGAAGCAAGTAATGCAACATGAAATGTGCATTGTGGCTCTTGTATCCGCTAACTTTTTTTCAGCAAGTTGAACACATCTTCAAATTTTTGAAGCACAACCATCAGGTATTTTTGCATTTTTCAATACAGAGCAAAAAGTAGTTTTCTCCTTTGTAGTCATGGAAAAACATGCTTTTGCAAACATTGACTTTTTTTCTTGATCTACCTCATTTGGGTGAAGTTTCTTTCTAATACCCATCTCTTTCAAGTCTAAATGTGCGTTTTTATGATCTTTTGTCTTTCCTATGATATCCAACAAAGTCCCAATTATACTATCAAAAATATTTTTCTCTATATGCATCACATCAAGGTTGTGGCGTAAATTATTATGCTTCCAATATGGTAACTCAAAAAATATTGGTTTTTTCTTCCATGGACCATTATTACTTTTCTTTTGCAACCTCCCAAAAGAATTGTTGACATACTTTAGTTTGTTTGAGATTTCTTCACAAGTTAACAACTCCGGCGGTGGCCTATCTTCTATGCTCCCATTGAAATTCCTAGCATTTGACCTATATTTATGATCCTCAGGCAGAAAAACACGATGATCCATATAACACACCTTTTTACTATAATTCAAATATATTGAATTAGTGTTATAGTTACAACACGGAGATGCTAGTTTCCCTTTTGTACTCCACCCACTCAACATAGCATACCCAGGAAAGTCACTAATAGTCCACAAGAGAGCTGCCCGCATTTGGAAAGTTTGACTTAGTGATGCATCATATGTTTCTACACCCAAATCCCATAACACTTTCAACTCTTCTATCAATGGTTGAAGGTATACATCAATGTTATTCCCTGGTGAAAGTGGTCCAGGGATTAATAAAGACAACATAGAATACTCAGCCTTCATACACCACCAAGGTGGAAATTTATATGGTATTAATACCATAGGCCAAGTACTATAAGACAAATTCATGGTTCTAAATGGATTAAATCCGTCGCTGGCCAATCCAAGTCTTATATTACGTGGCTCATAAGCAAATTCAGAGTGACATTTATCAAATTCTTTCCATGCTTCTGCGTCTGCAGGATGCCTCAACTTCCCATCTTTTGAACGCTCTTCATCATGCCACCTTAATGAGCTAGATGTCTTTGAACATATAAACAATCTTTGAAGTCTAGGAATCAACGGAAAGTGCCTCAAAACCTTTGAAGGAACTTTATGAGACTTATGATTTTTTTCAACATGATCATTTCCTTTGACATCTTCATTCCATCGTGGAGCACCGCAAACATGGCAAGAAGTATCATTCTCGTGATCTTTCCAATATATCATGCAATCATTAGGGCAAGCATGGATCTTCTTATAATCTAGCCCTAAGTCCCTTATCATGCCTTTAGTTTTGTTGAATGTATCAGGGATGTTTAATGAAGGCATAGCTTCTCTCAACAACTCTAATAGAGCATCGAATGATACATTTCTCCAACCATAAAGACATTTCAATAAATAAAGATGAATGGTGAATGAAAATTTAGAGAAGTTTTTGCAACCGGGATACAAATCTTGTTTGGCTTCTTCGACTAGATTATAGAACTTTTTTGCATCTTCATTGAGGCTTACATTTACATCATTTTCTTCTTGTACAACATCTCTAAATATTTCATGCAATAGTCCATCAATATCATCAATTTGATCCTCTTCTTCATTCATATGATTATCATTAAGATCACCGAGTTTCGGTTTCTTCTCACCGTGTCGAACCCAAACGTCATATCCCTTTTGAAATCCAAATGCAATTAAATGATTTCGTACTTCATTCCTTGTAAACCAATTGCTATTGTAACAATTAGCACAAGGACACAAAATCTCTTTCCCGCGGGGTTTTCCTTTGGTGTATGCATAATCTATAAAAGAATCAAGACCATTTTGGTACTCTTTACTCGCGGGGTTTTTCTTTGTCCATTCCTTGTCCATCGGGTTTACAGGGATACTACCATTTATAGGGAAAAAAATGTCTAAGCAAAACAAGCAGAAAAGAAACACAGTAGAGCAATCCAAAGTGTTCAATTTGTCAAAATTGTTTCATTTTGTCATATAAAAACTAGCCTACCAAAGGGTTCCTGCTGCCAATAACTACTATTTTACTATTAACACAGAACATGCTCATCTAGTGCAACAAGTAACATAAACTAGGAATTCACATCAAATTCAAAAATATCAAAAAAACAGTCCAACAAATTTTATAGATGGATGTCGATACAAACCTGATATAATGTCAGATGGGCATAAATAGTTGTAACTTCAGTCTATAGGGTCTGAACTTCTCCTGATACTTCGGATCTCCGGTACTTAAGATAGAACAATGAGTTCTAGTTGTTTTGTGACATAATCAGCCAAAATAATCTCAGAAGACAAAAAAAGAAATTAGAAACTATTACAAAGTAGTCAGTCGGTATAAAGCAATTTGAGTTAATTAACTATCTCTAACTCAATGACCCACCAAAATAAAACGGCTACAAATTACAATCAAATTATTACATTTTTACCAAGATGAATCAAATTATATAGTCGGTCAGTATATTATAACTAATCACTATAGAAATATATAATTATTAAATGGAATTAATATATCGTCAAATACGATGGCATGTTTATGAGACTCAAATGAACATCATATAACGTATGCAATATGTCAATGTCATATGATCAACTTTAAGAGTCCATTATTTTTCCAGAACCCTATAAAAGTAAACTATTATGCTTAGGAATTTGAAAATCAATATTAAATATATTTATACACAAAGGATAATTTAGTAAAACTTATGTACAAAATGTAAAAATTAACTACGCTAACCTCTTTTCTTAATATTTGTAAAAATAATCTAAATAAAATGTCAATCAAATGAAATATTCTATCAAATGATTAAGTTGTAGTCAATCAAAATATTGGAAAACAGTTAAAATATTATCATTATAGTTGTACAAACATAACTGACTTCCCTTATGTTGGTATTATATAAATTTGGGGTTGATATCCTTTCCATTTTTCTGTCTCTCTATTTTCTCTATTATTATACTTTTCTGTGTAAATAACACACATTTTTAAGACATGTGACATATAATTAATATTTAATTGATTTTATATACAACAAAACTATGGTAATGGAGAAAATGGAGAGACAAAGAAATGGAGAGGATATCAAC